GCGATTGAAGGAGAATAGAAAGATCCAATCGATCCGTTTCAGCGATGGGATGTTTCGGACGAACTGGGAAATCGAGCAAACGATCGGAGACGAAAACCACGAAGAACAATGATTTCACCAAGAACAAACTCACCGTCGATGGAAACTGCGTCCGTAAGAACGCAAATCGAGTTGCTCAGACCCAATCCACCTCAGGTATCGAGTGGAATTCCGAAGCCGATTCGTTTATTTATTTTTTTTATTCATTTCTCGACTCGGATCTCGCGTGGGATAGTAGTTTCGATCTGGATTCTTCGTTTTAGGTCATCCGTTTTTGCTACATTGCGAAAGCCGTTTCATGGGAGAATCGCACTTTGCCTTTTGTCTTACCTTCTTCCGTTTCTGTTAAAATTCTTTCATCGTCGTCTTAAATCATTTGTTAGAAGACAATTATCTAGTTCCTGATCATGTTGTTGTGTTTGTATCGTTTTCTATGTGTTGGGTTGTATAGATTGCTTCAAAGTCAGTCCATGTGGAGATGTAACCGAGGAGGATCAATTGACTTTGGATGCAATGGATTTGAATGTTGAAGATGAATTTGCAGGGATGAAAGCACAGACTTTTACCTTTGAAGCACTCACTGTTTCTACGGGTAACTTCAGGTCGGATTGTTTCTTGGGTGAAGGAGGTTTTGGAAAAGTTTACAAGGGTTTCATTGACAAAATCAGTCAGGTAGTGTAGTATGTGAGAATTCCATTGTATATGTTTCTTGAATCATTGAGTAATGTGGCTAGGTGAACAGAGAATTCAACTAATCTGTTGTTAATGGTTTCTGATAGGTTGTTGCAATCAAGCAACTTGACCGGAATGGCGGTCAAGGAATCAGGGAATTCGTGGTTGAAGTGTTGACGCTGAGTCTTGCTGACCATCCGAATCTTGTAAAGCTTATCGGATTTTGTGCTGAGGGTGTTCAGAGACTATTGGTCTATGAGTACATGCCACTAGGATCCCTGGAAAATCATCTCCACGGTATGCTGTATACCTCAACTCAGTTGCTCTTTATCTTTCTCTTTAGGCATAATACATAACAAGAAAAAAAAGTATCAGACTGCATTAAAACTAGCCAAAGGATCATTCTATTAGTATGGATGATTGGATTCTCTTCCATTAGGTTTGAATATACCGTGTCAATCAGATACTTTAATTTGTTGATTTTTCTAACTTTCTTCGTATTCTCTGTTTGCTTTAGATCTTCCTTATGGTAGAAAACCACTTGTTTGGAACACCCGGATGAAAATAGCTGCTGGTGCAGCCAGAGGTCTAGAGTATCTGCATGATAGAATGAAACCTCCTGTGATCTACCGTGATCTTAAATGTTCAAATATCTTGCTTGGTGAAGAATATCACGCAAAACTCTCAGACTTTGGGTTAGCTAAAGTCGGACCAAGAGGGGATGAAACCCATGTTTCCACAAGGGTTATGGGAACATATGGATACTGTGCTCCTGAGTACGCAATGACAGGTCAACTCACGTTCAAATCAGATATATACAGTTTCGGAGTTGTCCTTTTGGAGCTTATCACTGGAAGGAAAGCGATCGATAGTACAAAAGCGCGTAAAGACCAGAATCTAGTTGGATGGGTAAAGATAAATCTCTCAGTTTATAACTTTTGCGTTTCTCCTTTTTCTAGTGATCATAATTCACATGCTTGACAAAATTTACAGGCGCTTCCATTGTTTAAAGATAGGAAGAATTTCAAGAAAATGGTTGATCCGTTGATGGAGGGAGATTATCCGGTAAGAGGATTGTATCAAGCGCTTGCAATAGCTGCAATGTGTGTTCAAGAACAGCCTGGTATGAGACCTGTGATATCGGATGTAGTAATGGCTTTGGATCACTTGGCTTCTACCACATATTATTCTAATTTCAAGAGAAACACAGAGACAAGAGTCGATGCTGAAGAGAAAAGACTGGCCGAATCTAAAGTTTGTATGGAGGAAAAACAAGAGATCAAGATGGCCGAATCTAAAGATTGTATGGAGGAAAAACAAGAGATCAAGATATGTTCAGATCAAGCAACATAATCAATAACGGTTCTTCTTTTGGAAACAAAATTAAAAAGG